GCCTTGGACAACCGGGCGAAGAGAGAAGGATGGACGAATGCACCGGCAGGCAGCTCAACGGGTACCCAGCAGGTCGAGCAGGACTGGGCAGATAAGGCGAAGGACAGCAACTTGATCGGCCTACCGACATGTCACAAGCATCCGCGAGCCCCACTCGAAGCAGATTAAGTTTGAGGAACAACATGCGCGAGAGGCTAGGCCCACGACTTGACGTCCACGCCCGCTTGGGCCCGCTGGGAAATATACTTCAAAGGCTAGGCCCCCAAGAAGGTCAACCAGACAACCATCGCAACGAGGATCGTGAAGAAAGACGCTCAGGTGTCTACTCGCAGAGGAGCATTCACGAGAGGCTAGGTCCCCAGAGTGGTCAACCAGATAATCCTCACAATGAGGACCACGAGGAAGGACGCTCCGCTGCTCACTCTCGAAGAGACGGTTCTCATCAACAAGCTACGGAGAATCTCTCGCAAGCGCAGTCCACCAACACGCCGCCTAGGCAGCGCAGACGAGAAGGACGACCCCCGCGGACCCAGGAGGAGGTTAGTCAACGTCGCCCGAATCGCGAAGGTCGCCAACGTGATCGACCAGCAATGTGTATGGAAGATGTTTAGAAGCTTATGAATGACCAACTTCGAGATTTGAAGATTGGTGGGAACCTCGACGATGCACTACGCAAGGAGATCGACTAGGCAAACTCCACACTTTTCACTGCCGAAATCAAGCAGGCTGCTCCCCCGAAGCGATTCTCCACGCCTTCGTTTACACACTTCAAAGGGGACTCCGATCCCGAGAGCCACCTAAAACACTTCAAAAGTGTTATGATCCTCTACAAGGCCGACAACGCGTTGATGTGCAAGGTATTCGTAGTGACCTTGCGAGGAGCAGCCCAAGATTGGTTCCACACCCTGCCATCCAGGTCGATCAACAACTTCAAGGAGTTGGCTTACGTCTTCACCAAAGAGTACACCTCTTACCGAACGATCAAGAAGAACCCTGACCACCTGTACAACCTGCGCAAGAAGTTCAACGAATCCATTCGAGATTACATCAAGAGATTCAAAGCAGAAAAGGCCAACATTGTAGGATGCGACGACCGAATCGGGTCATCTGCTTTCAAGAAAGGTCTTCCAGCTGAACACGACTTGTACCGCGAGCTGACTATCACTCCCAGCCAGACTCTGGCAGAGGTCTACGAGACAGCGGAACGCTACGCGCTCTGGGATGACGATCGAATCGCTGCAAAAAAGTCTACTAAGCAGGAAGATCAACCGACTAAGTGGGCAGGTCAAAGAAGCGATGGATTTAACAACAAGAACAAGGATAAGCGCAGGTCACACCCACAAGGAGACGCTGCAGCAGGAGAGAAATACACCAAGTTCAACATCCCCATACATCAAATCTTAGCCCAAGTGAAAAAACAAACCTTGTGTAAGAAGACCGCCACCCTTGAAAGGAGATCTAGATAAGAGGGATACTAGCAAATATTGTGCCTTCCATGGGACACACGGGCACACTACCAACAACTGCCTCGCTTGGAAAGCATACATTGTAGAACTCGTGAGAGAAGGTCACTGCACGGAGTTCATCGCGAAGCAGGCCATCCAGCGAATTGAAGATAGAGACATTGTCAAGGAACCACCCCAGAAGGTCATGAGGATTAACACAATCCTAGCTAACGCCAAGGAGTCAGGGCTGACTAGCAAGGAAAAGAATAGGAAGATTAAACAGGCCTCTATGATCTTCCAAGTCTCGACTGGCCTTCTACCAGCAAAAGACGATCCTATAATCGGCTTCCAAAAGAAAGATCTGATCAGCCTCGACATGCCACATAATGATACCCTTGTCATCAGCATTCAAATCGCACAGGCCATGGTCGATCGAATCTATGCAGACGAGGGCAGCGCAGCCAATATCCTACAGTTGGCTGTCATCCAACAGATGGGCTTGGAGGCAAAAATCAACAAATCAGCCAGATCACTGACCGGCTTTAATGGTGCAACAACGGTTACCATGGGCACGATATACCTCGACGTCTACTCCTCACCTGTAGTCTGCTTGCAAACATTCATGGTCATTGATGAGGTCTCACCCTACAACGGCATTCTGGGTAGGCCATGGATTGGCAAGATCAATGTCATCACCTCTGCCATACATCAGAAAATTCGGTACCCAATCCCTGGGGGCGGTGTCGGCCAAATCAACAGCGATCAGGCAATGGCGAGGAAATACTCCGCCCAAGGGCTAAAGAAAAGCAAACAAGCGCAATTCCTCCCTGTGAGCCAGGCAGATCTAAAGGAAGTTGAATAATCGAATCTTGCTATCTTATAGCAATCAAAGCATCAGGACCAAGCCAAGGAAATCCGTCCAGAGGTCTTTCCTGAAGAAGGATGGAAACCTGAGGAAGACGTCGAGTTAATACCCTTGGATCCTGATCAGCCAAACAAAGAAGCGCAGATCGGCTCGCTCCTAAGTCTAGACGAGAAGATAGAGCTTACCACTTTCCTCCAGAATAACAAAGATATGTTCGCATGGTCACCGTCAGACATGCCTGGCATCGACCTGAAAATCATTTATCACCGACTCCATGTCAACCCTACCTGTAAGCCAGTGGCGCAGAAGAGACGCAACTTCGCACACGAGCAGGTCGCTATCATCGAAGCCGAGATTGACAG